AAATATACATATAGTATTTTTTTATACGCAAGTTGTCTGCTTTCTTTCAGAGAAACCTGTTTCCGTTTTTACAGCGATCGACATGCAGATGGAAGCACGGGGGCTCTACCCTATGATCCTTGTGACATTCGCTCATTTTTCACTGTCGCAACTCGGTTTCTCCGATAAAGTGGAGCATATATGTACATACATATAAATTATATTAGCCTCTGATTAATATGAGTTGTGGCCCTTCCGATATCGCTGCAACCTTGGCCAGAGTCATTTACTCAGCAGGGTGAATCACAACATGGTATGGTCTCAATGGCATAGATACAACTTGGTTGTGACTAAGCATGACTCAAAGGGAGACTGGTAACAGAAGGCACCATTGAGGGCGATTATAAAAACATTTTTTTAACTCTAAATATCCCAGAATAATTTCTAAAAAATAATTCATCCCTAGGGAAATTTCATATATTCATTCAACTTTAAGGTGACTTTGATATTAATCATTGTTTAGTTTCTACGCGTCGTTAAATAGTTATACAAAAATGTTAGATCTTTTAGTTCATCCCCTTTTTAAATTTACGCAATGATAATTAAAAACCTTAGTATTCAGAATAATATAAATTAATAAAAAAGCAATAAATTAAAACTAATTTAATCGTAATTGCCGAGACTCTCCAGAAGCGTGGTAAGGCACTCGAAGCGAGTGCATTTTCCCAGAACCGATCTCACGTCTCTTGTAAAGCGCAGGGCGTCCAGAAATGGCAGGAGGTCGAGAAGGGCTTCGTCCTTTTCCCAATCTTATACGATGGGATTGGGATGCAGTTTCCCACATTGAAGCTGCATTCTGTATTGGAATTGTCTAGCAGCAGGACATTTGCCATGTCAGGCGAACACAGCGATATATATTTGGCCTTTAGGCCAGCGACATCGATGGTGTTGTGACGGTAAAACCTCTTGGTTAAAATCCCACGGCCATTATCAAGGAAATCGAGAATAGGTGCTGCGTAATGCTCCGTTCCACAGGTGAAAACCACCAGGTCATACCATCTGGATACGCAGTTCAAGAAGTGATACATGGGGACGCTTATAAACATAGACCTTGCCCTTATATTTGGAATCCGAAAGCACGAACTTAAAGTCGTGGGGAACGTTGGGTGGTGACTGCCGACGTTTGTCCTGTCGCTGAATCCAGGCCGTGATCAGGGTCTCGTCCATGTCCAACACCAGTGTCTTCTTAGCCACCCGCTGCAGACGGCGTCGGGAAACAGGAGTCAAGGAATCATCGATCATGTATCCTATAGGAGTGTACTCTGCATAGATCTTGTATATCCTGCCCGCTGACAACTTGATGAACCTGTCCACCCTGGGCAAAAACAGGCAAATGATCGCCAGCAGCAGGGCCAAAGTAATCAGTCCATATGAGCTAAAGGGACCATATAAAATCCGAGTACGTGTAATTTAAATATACTACTTACAAAAACATAAACGAGTCGCCAGTCATGGTTTTATTAGATTTCAACCAGCTTATGATTAAATTTGAAACCAATTAACTTAATACCATTAAGAATCTTAAATAATCTCAAAACTAATTTAGTGAGGTTTTTTGAAAAGAGTTTAATTATTTTTCTACAAGTTTACAGAATTTGAAAAACTGACAATGATCGCCAGGGCTTCCAAAATAGGAAAAGGAATGAACCCCACCCAGAAAAGTATACAGTATAGAATCATAAAAAACCACTGAACATAAAAAATTTAAAATTTAAGGATTTTAAATCCGTTATAATGTCAAACTAAGTAATTTCGAAATCAATCAATTTTTAATTTCTTTTCTTTTAATTTCAAATCCAAATCAATTTCTGTGACACCCCTGCGTATACGTAATTTTAATGTAGAATCCATATATTACGTATACGCAAAGGTAGCATATTTTGTTTTATCAATTCCCCACCTATCCTAAGTAATTTTCTGGCAGTGTAGATATTCGAGGAACTTGTCTGGTTTTACAATATTCCACTTACAGTGGGTGTTAAATGATCGGGAGTGCGTGTGGTGACGAATGAGAGGGGATAATACAGACGCTTAAAAGGGAGGTACAGGGAGTTAAAGCAACGAAATAAACATCCCGGCAATGCAGGGCCAGGCGATGATGACGCACAACAAAGCAGAGCAGGAAAAACAAGAAAAATAACTAGAAAGGTACCTAACTTTGGAAATCCGATGTTTATATACCCTTGAGTTTGCTGTTTATTTATTTATCTATAATTTTATATGACAATATTTGCGACAAATCAAAGTTTAATAAACTCATATCTAAGCCAAAAATTCATTAATTTCAATTCGGAAAACTTTTCTGTGTTAGCTTTTGAACAGTTCAAAAACCGTTTCTTTCTTATTTTCTTTCACAGGATTACAGGTTTTCTAAATAAAATTATAAAACCTTTGTAAGGGTATAAAAACGATTAACAGTGAGTTAAAGTGCGATTGTAAATCATACGAAGGAGAAAATATTGGAAGTTTTAGGACTCTAAAGTAAAGAAATAAATAATTTGTAATAAAATAAGAGTATTAAAATGTAGTTTAAAGATTAAACATATATGTATTTGCATTGTTGCTAAATTTGGTAAAAGTTTATCTTCCAGAAACTAAATTAAAAACCAAAGGAGAAAAATTGTTTCTATTTTTCTTAGGATTATTTTTGTCATATTAGCGTTTCTTAAATATCTTTAAATATATGGTTTTTTTTTAGGTGTACAAAGGCCGCAACACTGACGGAAGTTCGCCGGCGATGTCACTCGTGTAAAATATTGCACTGGCCTTGGGAGCAGCACGCACAATGTGACTGCGCCGTCAAGACGATTAACAACGCAGTGCAGAATGCAACAGCAGCAGGAACAACAACATTTAGCAAAAAAATACAGACAGAAAGTGAATAAGAAAACAACAACAACAACTGTGGCCATGATGCCGGCGGCGTCATCCAGAAAAGAGCACCATATTGCGCGCATCTGGAGGTTGCCGCCTGCACGCGATTGGGATGGAATCTTTGAGGTGAAAAATTATTAATTAAATTAAAAAGCCATTTAATAACTTCTGTTCCGAAAAAAAACGTAGTCCCTAAAGAGTGATCATGTGTTTGTACTACACATTTTTTAGTCACCACGTTGTCATTCCTCTTTGCCCACCTGTGCCCTGATAAATTCTTTATTTTATTATTTTAATATATAGTTTTCTTTAGAAAAATGAGTAAGTCCTTGAATAAAGTCCACCCTAATGGATCATCCCACTCATTAGGTTTTTTTTTCGTTACCCTTCCAGGCTCCGAGGCTTGCGTTTTTGCGGTTTGCTGTGTGGCGTCTGCTGGGTGTCAACATTTAACCGCATGTTGCTGCAATTTCCCACTTCGCACAAAAAATGCATACATATTTAAGGGAAAATTAACTTGTGAGTCAGTTAAAAATAAGCGGAATGAGTGAAGTGTTCAACACCCGCATCTAGGCACATGTTCGGAAGTTTTTGCCGAGTTCGAGGAAAATATGCAATAACTCTAATAGCTTTTGTCCCATTAAAAGGAAATCCTGCTAATTTCTAGAAAAAAAAAATATATATTAATAAGTATTCATATGTTTGTTAAAGAACTTTTTAAAATTTCTTGAAACTTAATATTTTTATTAATAGCTTTCTAGAGAACTGCAACAAGCTTTTGGTCTTCGGTTTAAAATCGACCAACATTGATGTGTTTTATATCAATTAAATTAAGTTTGCAAAGTAACTGAAGTATTTTTATCAAAGAATTTAGTCGATACATTTTCCCCCTGTGTACGCTTATCGCGTCGCTTATCTTATTTCTCGCGTTTGAACCTGAACCTGTAAAAGCGATTCTGGCAGCTTTTTTGGATATGAAATTTGACGTGTGCTAAATTAGCATTAAACAATAATAATTCCGCTGCTGCTGCCTGATCTTTTGGGCTTAGCTTCTGTTGTTGTTGCGCTGAATGCAAAATAAATTGCGCATAAAGTTTAATCACTTTGACTTTGCACAAAACACACAGATACACGCACACGAACACGCACATGCGAAAACCGAAAAAATACAAACTCGCATAACAAAAGATTCTTCACACAGACACAGGCGCATTCAATATCAGCGTCAAGAAAAAAACAACAACAAGCTCGGTGGACAGTGCAAAAATAAAATACAAAAAAAAAAATAAAAAAATAAAGTAGAAAGAAAGAGAGACTACAAGGCGAAGGCGACGCCAGCAAAACGGGGCAGAGCGAACGGGATGGCGGTCGAGTCAACAACCTCCAGTGCATTACTCACTTTTAAAGACCGTGTGTGTCCTTCAACAAAAACTTTATCTCTGTCCCCCACTCGCTCTCATGTATTTCACTCACTCACTCGCTCGCTCGCGCTCTCTTTGGATGCTCGCCTCGTTTTTTACATTTTATAATTAAACAATTTTGCAGTCGTCTCGCCCTCGCAACCCCGTTACCCACCGCCCCCTTTGCCAAACACCCTCTTCGTCATCTTTTTCTGGACAAACAGAAACCCGAAAAAGTAAAGCTTGCTGCACAGTGAAAAATGTTAACATTAATATGCAAAGGAGACTGTTTTAATATTTTGGTAAAAAAGTACTATTTAGAATATTTATGGAAAATTGAATGGGTATTTTATTAGAGTATTCGTATTTAACTTTACTGTTAAATCATAGTTGCAAAATATTATTATCAAAACTATGATTTCTGTTCTGTAAGTTACACCTTAAATTTAAAAAAAATATATTTTAATAATCTTAAAGAAACTTTAACCACAAACTTTTCCCTGAGTCATATGTTTTGATATTTTTCTTATGGTTCTGGAGCTTTGCACAAGTGTGCAGAAGAGTGTCTTCTATCTCCACTTTATCGATCGGCTTCGAAACTTTGTCGTTCTTTGCCTGTTGCTGTTGCTGCTGCGCATTTTCGCATTTGGGGGATGCGAGATGAATAAACTTTTGTGCGCTTGCGTGACCTGTTCGCCGTCCCTGTTCCATCTCCAATGCTATCCCTCCTTTCCCTTCCACTCCCGCCTGCTCAGCCCCAGCCCCCCCCACGAGAAAGAGTGGGAGTGACGAGAGAGGAAGAGAGACTGCCGCCACATCCGCTCTGCTCTGCATTTGTGTGTGCATGTCACTTTTGTGTGTGCTTATTTTTGGTGTGCTAATGTCATGACTGCAATTTTAGCAAAATATTTCAACTGATAAATAAAATCTACATGATCCAACGAACTTGGAGCCCCAAAAGTATAACCAGAAAAAAATGCAACTTGCGCCTCAATTGAACAGTAACTACGAGAAGGTGTGCGTGCGAAAGATAGCCTTTCCGGGCGGACTCACTCTCACACACACAACACAGGTTGGCAGTGCCATAAACAAAGAATCCTTTGTTGTCGATTCGATTTCTGCGCTTTGCTTTCTTTCCATTTTTGTGTAAATTGTATTTTTATTTTTAAATAAACAAGCGGCGGAGTTCATTGCATCGCCGGAATAAGAATATAACAATAAGCCAGCCACAATCAACAAAAGGCAAAAACATGAACGTCGACTGGTATACATGGCGTATAATTAACGGCTGCGCGTGTGTGGAGAGTTCAAGTCAATTTATCAATTCTTCTTTTTTTCGGGACCTCTGAATACTTGCACTTAAGTAGGGAGAGTGTGGCGGAGTCATAATTCTGTCGGAAGGTACATCATTTATAAAAAAATCAATCAAGTGATTAATTGCGACCCAACAATCAGGGATTTTGTTGCAAAATTAACTCTATAGCTGGTGTTATATGGGATGTATTTTTATTGTTCTATAATTTACGAAAATTCTGGGCGTAAAGAAAAGCAAATTGTACCCTATTTGACTATGACTAGGTTTAGTAAGGATTTTATGTTTAGATATAGTCCCCCTTCGAGTGTGAACAGTTATGCTTTTGGTCGATCATCTTTTGCATTTATCAGATGGTGGTGCTATATTTCCACACCGAGCATTGAATGTCAGTGCAGATCGGGTTACATGGTAAAGTCGGTCAATAACTTCGGACCCTGCACAAAACGTTTAGGCGTTGACCACAAGTGATCAAGATGTTCCTGTTGTTTTGTTTTTTTGTTGTGCACTCACTCCCTTGATGAACGCTGATCTCAAGTTATGCCTCGCCGCTTGGATGCCACGTTATTTTAGTTGACCGGTTTAATGACTCGAACTTAATTTGCGCCCTCGGAGAGAGGAGCTAAGAGACCGAAATGCCAAAAAAAACGCCAAAAGTATGCGCAATAACAAGGCAGACAACACCCAGCGGCCAAGAAAAACTCGGCTTGGACAGAAAGAGACAGCGGCAGAGACGCGTCTGGAGGCTTACAATTGAGTTGCCATTTTAGCAATGATCGTGGGCTTATGAAAAATTTAAAAACAAATATTCATTTCAAATTATTAATGAATCAGAACGATTAAAATTAATAACTAATATTTTCGAAAAGGAAATTAAATTAAAATTCTGTAGAAATAGTTTTTATTATTATTTTCTTGTTCATGAATTTTAGATTCCAAAATTTCATAATAATAGATCAACTATTGCGTCTTTAAAAGGAAATTAGTTTCCATTTAGAAAGTGTCCTGTAAGCAGTACCCAAAAGTAGCAGTGATTTTTGAGCCTAAACAGCTTGCAACTGCTTCTTCATATTATGCTATTTTTTCCACCGCAACTGTACAAGGAGGAGATCTTTGCGTGTGCCTGGTGTGGAAGGGGGAGTGGGCGGTGCAGGCAGCAGGAAGAGCTCCAAAGCGACAACATTGTGTGTGTGAGTGGGTCGCCAAAAAAAAGCAACAACAAGAAGGAACAGGAGGGGTAGAAGACCAAAAGTGGAGAGAACGAACAACCGCAATACAAAACAGAACGATGTGCAAGTAGCTCATATTGGAGAGTGCGTGTGTGAGTAAGCAGCGACTGGCATTGGCATGTTGAGTTCAGTTTGAGGCAAAATCCAATATAAAAGCCACGATCGAAAGATGCAAAATTTCATTCCGCCGCCGTTCGTTCGTTCCGTTCGCTTTACTTTGCTCGCATATAAAAAAAGTCAAACAAAATAATAAAATGAAGCATGCGAAAGCAGCGATCGCAGCACAGTACACACACAAACAGACACCACACCCATACGCATGCATTTTGCCGACGCCATTGCGTACAGGCGGCCATTGAAGCCGACTGCGCTGCCGACAGCGTAGCGGAGAGTATAAAAGCATAAAATCACTTCGTACTCGGGTTATTAAACCAAAACTGTGCAAGTGTCGAGATCGGTTGCAAACTCAGAGCTCGTATCCCTAAAAAAACCTTCAGGACTCATCCATTGAAAAATTTCAATTGTCCACAAAAAAATAAATAAATACATAAAGTTCTAGTGAAATTCGTACAAAAACAAACACAGAAAGCAGTGAAAGTTGGGCAATTAAAATAGAAATAAAATAAACCACAATCTAATCTAAAATAGCGAATGCGAAAAAGAAAAATCCATTTCAAGCGCCACGCGAAGCGCCCGCGTCAAATATAAACCAAAAGCGAAAAAAAAAAACGAAAGAAAAGAAAATCGAAAGTGTTCTACTGACATGGATTACTTTTTGCCACCCAAACTACGAACACAACCGCAGCAGTCAAGGCGAAGAGAAACTAGCGCTAGTTTGTCTATTCAGAGAGTAGAGCGAAGAGTGAGAATTGGAGAGATAGGAAGGGCGAGAGCAAAAGGCCGGTCTCTAAAATAGAAAGCACTACACAGAAAAAACCATCTAACAATAAATTCTTTCTGGGTTTATTTATTTAAAATAGCCATCGATTAGTAAGCAAATTATTAAAAGAGTTCTCCTTTAATAAAACAATTCCAAATAAGCAGTCAATAATAGTCAAGTAATATTATTCCACCCTTTGTTTTCTCTGTGTAGATAGCAATCTCCTTTGGTTAAGACCTTTATACTTTCTGTCTTGGTTTTTATCAATCGTATCTTTTGGTTTCCTCCATAAAACATTTTATGCAGCCCAACATTGTTGACAAATCGCCCCCCACTTTTTCTTTCTGTGTAGATAAGCGATCTCTTCTGCTTTGCGGTGTACGTGCACTTGGCCACACGCTCTCCACGCTCCATTCTTTGGTCTTCGTTCTCCACTCTCTGTGAGAGCAAAAGCAACCGAGCAGGAATTCTAATTCCCGCATTCTCGCAGCTTTGAACTTGAACTTTAAATGCACTCACATACATACACACATAAACTAATGCTGTTTGCTGTTAGAGGGCGTGCTCCCCATATCTCTCTTTCTCTCTCTCTGTGTTCGCTAATCGCAGAAAGAGCCCCACCAATACGTACAATATTCTCATTTGCGAGGCGGCGTTCGTTCCATTTGGGCGCTGGGCATTTATTCGCTCGCTGATAAATTTTCGACTGGCTTGCAATTAATTTTGGCTCTTGACGAGCCCCAAAAGTGAAAGTCGTGAAAAGACGTGGCAGTTTTTTATATTAAAAAAAAGTAGAAAAAAAAACAGAAGCAAAAAGATCAGACATGAACTGTGTACGCAAAACACGAAATGCGAAACGACAGCGGCTGCGGTGGCAACAAGTTAATAAATTAACACAGAAAAACGAAGAAAAAATCCAGATTTCAGGCTATAATGCAAAGAAAGCGGCGCAGCTAGTTTATTTTTATACATTAAAGATTTCCCCCCGAATGGCATATATAAAGCAAATTTAAGGTGCGGTCCAGGTCTTCCATTCTGGATCCGAGAATTTCCTTATAAATCTAGCCTCTACTAGGCTTTGTCTGTGCATTCGAAATCCGATCAGACATAGCCTATAAGAGGTTAGGTGTACCAAGGCAAATGTGCAGCGAAAGGCGGAAAAGCTTAACCACTGAAAATCATAATCTAACAAATAATAAATAATATATAAAAAAAAAATATATTATATCATTTAGCTTTACTTATTTTGTGTGTAAAAATCAATAAATGCAATTTCTTATCATAATAATAATTCAATATTCCTTATCTTCGGATCTCTTGCAGTTTTAATCTCATTATATTAATAGTATATTATATTGGCAATTTCTATATTTAAATATTTTAGATTAAGCGCACTACTAAGCCGAATGCGCAGCAGAAAACGAAAACCGATTACATCTAAAATCCAGAGGAACAGGGACCTGATAAGCATGATTCCCTCATCATTTTCTCCCCCAACATTTTCCGCTCAAGTTAATTTGGGAATCTCTTGTTTATTATGTTTTGCCTGCGTTATTTATTAGTTAATAACTTATATTTGTATACTTTTCGAATAAAAAAAAGGCGTTTCTGCGAATCTTTTTGATGAGTGTGTGCTTTTCCATGGGGGCTGATTGAGCGATGATTCGAGTCGAGTTAGCGACTACGTTTCTGTTTATTCTCGGGTTTTGGCTGGGGTTTTGGATTACACTTGGATTATCGCGTATTGAAGGCGCCACTTGCCTCGAGAAACAGCTGGCCATTCGGTGGACTTGCACTGGTCTTTGGATATTTCAAATAAATATGCATAATACCCAGTTAAATGCAACGCCTGGAAAAATTTTTCAAGGTTGGCTTTGCTTTTATTCTTAAAATAAATATAGATTTTTGCACAGCAACATGGCTTAAACCATATTATTTTTTTTACTTTCATGATAAGCTTTCATTTGTACGCATGTTTTATAACGTTTTGAAGCTTTTATTTGATTTGAATCACATTTTAACAAGATTATTTTTATGCCAGGAATCTAATAATAATAATAATAAGAACTATATTTAATAAAATAACAAAAGTTATTCGGAATTACTTTTGAAATTTTATGATTAAAACAAAAAGGTTTAATTTTAATATAGTATTCAACGTCTGCACTGCTTTAAAAAGCTTTACCGTCAAACTTAAGCTGGATGCTATATTCCACACGATCGTGCACTGCTTTGCTAATTATGTAAAATATAATATAAGTAAAATTTGTTCATCAATGTAGAAAGATTTTTGAATTTAAATAATATTAATTTTTTGTTGATTAGAATTTTGATTTCATATCGGAATATATATATCATTTAGCAATCAATGGGGTTTTGGTTCAGATTAATTCGCATGTCCATGCTGATCAAGAATATATATGATTTAAAGGGTCGGAAATGACTCCTTCGATGAGTTTTAAGCTTCTGACAGAAATTAAAATACCCTGCAAGGGTATAAAAATAGTCTTCGAATTAATATAAGTCTAGCATACGTGGCGTATACTTAACGTGAAAACCCTTAAATTAAGTATACGCCATGTGTGTCTTAAGGGAGAATAGTTTCAAAGCATATAAAGATAAGTAGTTCCAGTTAAAAACAAGATTATTAATTAAATTATAAGATAGAATCGGAAACCGATCAAAGCTAAGCTTTAAATATTCGGTATTCGGTATAAATGATCATAAATGTGTAATATGAAATTAGACAGGAATTTATTTTCATTAATCATTTTAAAAGCATTATAACAGAATAGAAACAAGAATTCAAATTTAATTTTATGAACAAGCTGACTTAAAATTTAACATCTCGTACAAAACTTATACAAAATATCTTCTTTTCATAAAAAGAGCTTTAAAGCTCTATGGTACTTCTTAAGGTTTTTTCAGATCTTCTCTTCAGTTCAAAACGAAATTGGAACGTCAATGGCAAGATGGATGATCGTTCCCCAACTTGGAGGCTTGGAGCTAAAGTTAAACTCCCACAATTGGCAATTCATTGGCTTCTGCTGTTATTGCCTTGGTTTATCTGCACCGGCTGCACATAAAACACGCTCGAAATGACTGAAAATGCGTTTCGAGACAGACAGTCTGCGCCATTCCGTTGGATTTCTCACACATAAAATCCGAATACCGAATAACCGAAATCCCAAAACCCAAAAATCGAAGACATTAACCGAAGGAGAAACAGATTGCAGTGCCAGCATCGTTCATGTCTTCCCTAATGGCCTGTACATGGCACTTGAGCACTCCAAGCCAGGCCGTATTTATGGCCTGGCACTCTACCATTTTACCAAGGGCATTGAGAGAAACAGTTGCAGAGCCTAAGAAAATATTGCTAGAGAGTTAACTTGGATAAATGAAAAGCACTGAATTATATGTAGTAAATATGGAATATTTATTTATATTGATAATAGATATTTATACACAATCTTTTACAATTTATTCATATTTATTAAAGAGTTTTTTTTCTTGTGTAATCCTACTATTTTTCCAGCTGCCGGCGGCCGTGTGCGCTTATGCAATTGTGCAAGATGTGCGGCTCATCATCGAGCCGGCCTGCAAGTACATGGGTTAACATTTAACCCACATCTCAGCTGATGGCTATTCCTGGTCCGTTGGC